CGACAGCAAATCCCTGGTAGGCAGATGATTGCACAAATTGCACATCTTCATCAAAGTGGAAATGATGTCTACCTGGAGACAATAACCAGCCCACTACTAGTGGGCACCAGTAGCACCTGACTGTTGTTTCTAAATATAACTGAGTTCTACTCAATTAATACGAGCCTTCCAGCCCTAATCCCTTCCGTGATATATAAGGGTTCTGGGTGTCAGACACCTGTGGCTGTGGTCCCATTGTGGAGGGCATGATCTGCTAACAAACAGGAATGGGATGAGATAAAGAGTTCTGACCTTAGTGGAAGGTGTGAATCTGACCACACTCTTTGTTTACCCTGTAAGTAATTGTATGCTACAGATAAAAGGAGAAAGAAAACAGTTTCTAGAGTGGTGTGTGGATGAGCCTGGCTGATTAGTAAGAGGCCAAGGCCTACTGGAGACATCCTGCAAGAGGGGCCAGGTCCTATGTGCATATATAAGATATGGTCCAGGAACGGGGAAGAGATTATTACATTTGGGTGCTCCAATTTGATTGCTCCATGTAACTCCTGCCAACCGATCTTTCCCTGCATGGGTCTGGTAAGAAGGTGTGTGTGTGGGGGGGACAATACTGATAAGATTCATCTGTGAGTAACTGTGAACAGGATTCCCTAAAATGCCATGCTCCTGTATATAAAACAAGCCCCCTCTGAGAAGCGGGGATGGGATCTCCCCACCTGCAAGAACCAGGAGTGAAGTATATCCTCTGTCCCCAGCATCCAGTTTACCCTTGCCTAACCTTCAGATTTAGGATTGAACTGCACCCACCACTGTGTGAGACATTTCCTCGAACTTCCATGAGTTCTGAGGGGCACGCAGTGACTCACAGAACCCAGAGACATGAGGAAAGGTACTCACTGGAGGGGGAGTGTGCAGTCGGGGGGGGGGATACATGGAGCAGACTATAATCTTGCAAGAGTTGAACTTTGGGGGATTTTTCAATCTCAAACTGCTTGACACTAGTTTGGTATTAATTCTTACAAAATAAATAATCACCACAATAACTTCCCATAAAAAGGAACCAGATTCCTCGGAGAAAGGGCTACATCCAGTTTA